GCAGCACTGGAGGTGCTCACTCATCTATGCCATGAAATTCAAAACAACTTCCTGGCCAATGGATTTAAGGAGATCTGCATTTGTGCCGAGGAGACATGACTCAGTGTAATGCAAACATCATCAAACAATATCATTTATCACATGCATGTATAATTTTGCTGAAGACAATTCAAAAAACAATTACAACAGTACATTGAAAAAGAATTGCCAGAAATTCAATCTTGATTTAGAAGAGGATGTGGAACTTCAGACATAACTGCTGATGCCACATGGGTCTTGACTAAAAGTAGAGAATACAAGAAAGGTGCTATGTTGACTACACAAAGACTTTGGACTGTGTGCATCATGACAAATTATGGGTAGCACTGTGAAGAATGAGTATTCCAGAATTCTGAATTGTGTGCCAAGAAACTGGATTATAAGAAGAATGTGTGATAGCACTGTGTAAAATGGGTATTCCAGAATATTTAACTGTGTGCCAAAAAAAATGGATTATAAGAAGAATGCAACAGCAAGATTGAAGGAAGGCTCATTAACAACCTGCGATATGCAGATGATACGAACATGTTTGCTGAAACAAAGAGGACTTCAAATACTTACTGATGAACTTCAAAGATTGCACCTCAATGTAAAGAAAACAAAAATCCTCACAAATTAACCAACAAATAATGTCATGATAAAGGGAGAGAAGACTAAAGCTGTCAAAGACTTCTTTTTGCTTGGATCTGCAATCAACACTCATCAAACAACATTCAAGAAACCAAACAACCTATTTCGGGAATCTGTTGTATAAAATCTATTTACAGTGTTCAAGAGCAAAGCAGTTTGTCTGAGGTCTAAGATGCGCCTGACTATAGTATTTTCATTATGCGTATGAAAGTCAGACAATGAGTAATGAAGACCTTAGAAGCACTTTTGCATTTGGCTTTTAGAATTACAGAAGAATATTGAAAGTACTATGGACTGCCAAAAGAACAAACAGATCATTTTTTGTTTGTTTGTTTAAAAAAGAGCAATCAGAATACTCATTAGAAGTTAGAATGGTGAGACTTTGTCTTAGACTTTGGACATGTTATTGGGAGGGACCAGTCCCTGGAAAAGGACATCATGCCTGGTAAAGTGGAGAGGTAGAGAAAAAAAGGAAGACCACTCCAAGGAGATGAATTGACACAGTGGCCACAGCAGTGGGCTTAAATGTAATAATAATTATGAGGATGATGTGGGGCAGGGCAGTGTTTCCTTCTGTTGTATATAGAGTTGCTATGAGTCAGAACCAACTGGATGGCAACTCTTTTATGATGTAAATTGAATAACAACTATATGGAGACTCTTACTGCCTTTGACTTGATTCTGACTAACAGTTAACCTATATAGGATTTTCAAGGCTGTGTGCTCTGCTAACAGAGTGGTTAAGAGTCAGGCTACTAACCTTAAGGTTAACCTTAAGGAAGTTTTAAATTACCAGTTGTTTCATGGGAGAAAGATGAAGTTTTCTGCTCCTGTAAAGTTTTACAAACTCAGAAACCCTATGTTGTTGTTGTTATGTGCCGTGGAGTCGGTTCTGACTCATAACAACCCTGTACAGAGTTTCCGAGGCTGTAAATCTTTATGGGAGCAGAAAGTCTCATCTTTCTCCCGTGGAACAGCTGGTAGTTTTGAACTGCTGACTGTGAGGTTCGCAGCCCGATTCGTAACCACTATGCTACCAGAGCTCCTTTCATCTCTCCTACTTCAGACATATTATCAGGAAGAGCCAGCCCCTACAAAAGGACATGTTGTTAAGTTGTTGTTAAGTGCCATCGAGTCGGGTCCGACCCATAGCGACCCTGTACAGGGTTTCCGAGGGTGTAAATCTTTACGGGAGTAGAAAGCCTCATCTTTCTCCCGCGGAGCGGCTGGTAGTTTCAAACCGCTGACCTTAAGGTTCGCAGCCCGATTCGTAACCACTACGCTACCAGAGCTCATAGTTCTTGGTAAAGTGGAAAGATGCAAAAATGAGGAAGATCTTCAACAAGATGGATTCACACAGTGGTAGCAGTAATGGGCTCTGGCATAACAGTTTTGAGGATGGCACAAGACTGACCTGGCAGAGTTTTGTTTTGTTGTGCATAAAGTTGCTATGAATCAGAAAAGACTAAATGGCACCTGGTGTGATACGTAGGATAAGCACTGGACTGCTATCCAAAATGTTTGTGACTCAAACCCACCAGCTGCTCCTTGGAAACTGTACAGGTTTCTGTGAGTTGGAACAGACTCAAAGGCACTTAATAACAATGGTTATGTCAACATTATAAAATGTACATTAACCTGGTGAATATTATTGTAAGTAAATTATACATCACTAATCACAAAACAGATAATAGGGGAGCACTGGTGGTGCTGTAGGATAAGCACTGGACTGCTAACCGCAAAGTCACCAATAGTTGTATGAGAGAAAGATGAGATTTTCTGCTCCGGTGAAGATTTCTAGTGTTGGAAACTCTTTACAGAGTTCCAATTAGTGGAATTGACTTGATGGCAGTAGGTTTGTTTGTATTTTGATTGTAGATTAAGAGACAAATGCCAACCCATTATAATGCATAGGACTTGTCTGATTTGCTGTTAAAATAAATTAAAACTATAAAGAATATTGCATACTGACTGGCTGTGTGATGATATTCATTACTTGTTTTATTAGTGAATTAAGATATTGTAGTTATTTTTAGAAGGATCCTTATCTTAAAAATAATGAGCCTGGAGGAGCTATGGTATAGGATAGAACTGCTAACTGCAAGTTTGGCAGTTCAAAGCCACTAGCTGCTCCACAGATGAAAGAAATGGTTGTCTACTACATAAAAATTTAGTCTGGAGACCTAATTTAGGGTCAATATAACTCAGAGTCAACTTGATGGACGTGTGTTTATATCTTATAATTACAGATTGATTTTTTTTACAGATTAAATGATATGACTGCAATTTGCTTCAAGCAATCATGCTTCTCGTATTTGCTCAGCATAAAGATTGAATGAGAATGGTAAAATTATATAACTCTGACAAACACCTTTCCTGAGTGTAAACTATTCAGTATTCCCCTTGTTCTGTTCAAATGATTGCCTCTTGATCTGTGTACAAGTTCCAAATGAGCTCAATTAAGTGTTCTGGGACACTCATTTTTTGAAATGTTACATATAGTTTCTTATGACCTTACAGTTGAATGACTGCATAGTCAATGAAGTACAAGTAAACATCTTTCTGGGAGTCTTTGCTTTCAGTCAAGAACTGTAATCTAGCAATGATATGCCTTCCTTCACATCCTCTTCTGAATCCAAATTAAATTCTGACAGTTCGTTGATGGTGCACTGCTGCTACTCTATTGAATTATCTTCAGCAAAATTTTACTTGCATGCAATTTTAATGATATTGTTAGATAGTTTCTGCATCCTGCTTGGTCTCTTTTCGTTGGAACACGCCCAAATATGGATTTCTTCCAGTTGGTTGGCCAGGTAGGTGTGTTTCAAATTTCTTGGCAGAGACACATGAGCCCCCCAGTGCTGTATCAGTTTAGGAATATTATGTAAAAATAAAGAACTACATATATATTTGCCTGAAACACAAAAGAAAACTTCTCAGTTGATGATACTATATCTTTCCACCCTTCATTTGTATTTTCCTATCCCTCCAAACACAATCTTCCGCACCAGCCACTAAGAAACAATTTAGTCATGTTTCTTCTGAGAAATAAAATGAACCAAAACAAACAAAACATACTCTATCTGGTTAAAGATACCTGCATCCAAGCCCAGCTCAAATTGCAGCTTTTGTGAAATAGTCACAAACCTCATTTCCCAACAGTAGCCTAAATGAGGACATTATTTTAGAATTTAACAGATTGTAGTCTAATTATTTGTTTGTATTTTTTTTTTTTTTCTTTTTGACCAGTTTAAGAATTGCTTTTTATCAGGATAAAAGAAGCATGGATTTTACTTATACTTATTTATTTGCAACATTTAGCAGTATGTATATATCATTTATTGGTAGTCCTGGTGTGGTGCTGTGGGCTAATGCATCAGACTGCAAAGTTGTTTGAACTGCAAGGTCAGTGGTTCATGCTCATCAGCTGCTCTTTGGAAACCCTATACAGGGTCGCTATGGGTCGGAATCGACTCGATGGCACTTAACAACAATAACAATCAGTGGTTCAAATCCATTACATACTGTTAAAGAGAAAGATGAGGTTGTCTGGTCACATAAATTTATAATCTCAAAAACACTGAAGAGCAGTTTTACTCTGTACTGTAAGGCTCAACTCTGTGGGTTTGTTTGATTTATACTACATAGGACACACAGTACTAGTGTAAGCTATGATTTACAGAGAATAAGTTTCTCTGGGACCCTGGTGTGGTGCTATAGCATAAACACTGGACTGCTTACAGCACTGAATGCAAGGTCAGCAGTTCTAACCCACCATCCATTCTAGGGAAGTTTATATATGGAAGCTGTCTGTTAGAATGGACTCAATGGCACCATTAACAGCAGAGTTCTTCAAAATGTATTTTCTTCATACTTTTCTAATAATACAAGGGCATTTTCTAATAATAGCAGGCAAAATAGTGAAGTTCTGCTATATGTATTTTTATTTCTTTACCAGGATATTAAAAATATTTATGAAAGTGAGAAAAACAATAAAAGTGATTATTAGTGAAAAGATATGCTATTAAAAATGACTATTAAACCTCAGTATGTCAATGTTCTATCTTATTTAGCTTTGTTAAGCAGAAGTATATATATTTTAAAAATTAACTTATGCTTATCTTACACATGTTATCATTGCTCAATATTATTATTATATGTTAATTATTTATTATATGTATTAATGTTTTTACACACTGGACTTTTTTGAAGCTGATGCAGTTAATATTAGTAACTGTAGTTAACATTAATTTTCTAAATAATTTTTACTATTTTTCCATTAGTTGAGAAATTTATGCAGATTTTTTTGTTTTTCTTTTTTTCAATTCCAGTTGTGTTGCTTGATACAACAACTGTGCTGGGAGAGCTAGGATGGAAAACATATCCATTAAATGGGGTAAGTGTAAATATCTTTTTAAAATCATCAACCTTGCTAATATATTAGTGTCTGTTATAATAGTTAATAGATCAGTGTATCTTTGACTCAATTTGAGATGGATTTTGATATATAACTGAAATCCTATATAAAATTAAAAGTGCAACTTGAACTGGTGAGCAGTGAAAATTATATGTAAATTAAACATCCTTGCTTTCCTCTAAATTAGTAATTATTCTAAAGCATAATATTTGTATGTGTAGTGTTACACAATGACTAAGTACTCAACTGCTGATCAGAAGGTTGTCAGTTTGAAGCCACCCACCAGCTTTGTGGGAATAAGATCTGACAGGCTACTCTGTAAATATTAAAGTCTAGAAAACACTCTAGGGAAGAATTACTCTGTTATATGGGATCACTGTCACTGTACAGCACCCAAAGTAGCAACAATGGTAACACTGGAATACTTCCCATATAAACAATTTGTTTAGAAATAAATGTCTATATGCAAGTTCAGGATACTTTTTGTATAAATGCTTAATAAATTACATAATATAAATGAGTATTTGTATGTAAACAAAATAAATTGTATGAATATTAGCAATTTGATTTTTGATTAGAAATTAAGTGTCCAATAAAGCAAGGCTTTTTTTGAACTTGACAAAGGATATATTGTGATTAGTTTTTCCTTAGTTAACAGTAATTGTTTTTGAAGGTTTATGTTGTTGTTAGGTGCTGTACAGTTGGTTCCAACTCTTAGCAACCCTATGCACAACAAAACCAAACCCTGCCCTGTCTTGTACCATCTTGGGCCTATTGTTGTTGCCACTGTGCTAGTTCATCTCTTTGGGGACCTTATTCTTTTTCATTTACACTCCACTTTACCAAGCATGATGTCCTTCTCCAGGGACTGGTCCTTCCTTATGATGTGTCTGAAGTATGAGGGACAAAGTTTCTTCATCCTAGCTTCTAAGGAGCACTCTGGCTGTACTTTGTCCAACACACATTTGTTTGTTCTTTTATTAGTCTATAGTACCTACAACCTTCCTCTCCAACACTGCAACTCAAATGCTTCAATTCTTCCAGGGTCTTCATTATTCATTGTCCAGCTTTCATATGCATATGAATGGTTTATAAAGTTTTGTAATTTAAATATTACAGATTTTCAGTTACTGACATCATTTTAGCAATATTTAATACTTGAATGTTATCTGTTCTGCTTCATTTTGCATTGAAGTGTATTTTTACTTTTTTATTTTCTCTCAAGCCAAATTAAAAGATTAAATTAGTTTGTGAAGCTTTTTACTTTGTTTTTTGTTTATTTAAAGAAAATCTTCTATTTTCATAAGGTACTTAAATTAGCTTTTATTACTTTTCTTATAAATTCTATTTTTTCTTATCATATTCTGAGTTCACATTTTTATATTATTTCTTCCATTACATCTTTACATTTAAATATGAAATAAATTGAGTCAAACATGTTTTGTCTTTTAAAAAAAATCTTTAAAATACTGCTATTTGAATATGATTTTTATAATAAATAATTCATTAAACTTGTATTTCTATCTAAGAAGTCTCATAAAAAGTTAATACGTATGTATCCTATTTGTTTAATACACATTATCTTTTTCATATGTATTTTTTTAATGTTCTGTGATTTTAGGGGTTTTTTCTGAAATTTTTTTGATATTCCAATACCATTCTTTAGAAATGTCCTTTTGAACTAACTTGTGCATTTATCTTTATTATCTTATTTCCATGAAAGTGAACAAACATAAGTATTTGCTTAATTTATTTAAGTAGGTCATGCTTATCATAGCTACTTTTAAGAAGTGAATAAAACCCTTTCTTAGAGTATCTTAGAGATAAGAATAGCCTATCCTTAGTTTGCAACAAGTTATAACAACTTACCTATAATTAAGTAGTTTTCAAATCCTATTTTTATATTTTTTGAAAAAAATAGATTCATGTAGTCAGTTAAAGAATCATGTGAAGCAATTAAACTCCTGATTTAGTGATTGTGCTTATCTATCATAAGGGCTTTATTTTGAAGCACACTGTAATTATATTTTATAGAGACATAGAGTTACAAATTAATGGTTGGTATAATTGTATTAATAACTTTTAACATTGTTATCAAAATATGATGAATCTATTTTACAATAGTTGTAGATTAATCTATATAAATTGGGAGAAACAAAGGTGAATCACAGGGCATAAGACATACTATCTAAATGACTTTAAAAAAATTATGACTGCAGTGTTTTTCTCTTTTACTGAAGGATATATTATTGGTCAGAATGATGCTTTAATTAATGCTATATATAGCTTAAGACTTAAGAGAAGCAAAGATGTCAGCGTGAGGACTAAGGTGTGCCTGACCCAAGCCATGGCATTTTCAGTAACTTCATATGCATGTGAAAGCTGGACAGTGAATAAGGAAGACCATAGAAGAATTGATGCTTTTGATTTATGGTGTTGGAGGAGAATATTGAAAGTGCCATGGGCTGCCAAAAGAACCAATAGATCCATTTTGGAAGAAGTGTAACCAGAGTTACACTTGGAGGCCAAGGTGGCCAAACTTCATCTCTCATACGTCGGACATATTGTCAGAAGGGAGCAGTTGCTGGAGAAGGATATCATGTTTTGTAAGGTGGAAGGTCAGAGAAAAAGAGGAAGACCCCCAACAAGATGGATTGGTCAAATGGCGGCATCGATGGACTCAAGTGTGGCAACAGTAGTGAGGTTGGCCCAGGATCAGGCATTGTTTCGTTCTGCTGTGCATAAGATTGCTATCAGTCGGTACTGACTCAATGGCACCGAACAACAACAACATAGCTTAAGACTCGTAAAAAAAATAATCAGTAAAGATGGAGAACTTTGAAAAGTCAAGAATTAAAATAATATAATTTTGGCAATTTTAGAGCTACAACAGCTGTTATAATATGATATTTAAATGAACATTTATATTTATGAATCTAATTGATCATTGAATAATTTTTGCTGGACCAATAAATAACATTATGATATCATAGATATCAGTAGATATTCTGTGAATTCCTGGAGCACTGTTTTTTTTGCCAATATCTTCAGCATAGTTTTGATTTATTCTGTCAATGCTGTATGCTATTCCTGAAATGATTGCACGTTAACCAATTATTTTTGACACAGTGTATGTGTATTCCTTCCATCTTAATTTAATGCTTTCCTCATTGTTCACTATTTTGTGCATATTGTTGTTGTTAAGTGCCATCAAGTTGTTTCTGACCCATAGTGACCCTGTATAGGATTTCCAAGGAGCAGCTGGTGAGTTGAACCACCGACCTTGCAGTTCAAACAACTTTGCAATCTGATGCGTGACCCACATCGCCACACCAGGACTCCATTTTGTGCATGGAATCCTCTAATATTTTAAGTTGTGTCTTGAATTTTTTTTTCAGTTCTTGCAGCTTAATTATGTTGAACATTTTCTTCCATTTTTGGTTTTTGAACTGATTTCATTATAATACTTGACTTCCATCATTTCTTCCATTTTATATATATACTTTAAGTTCAAGTGCCAGTTTCAGAGTCTCTTCTGACGCCCATGTTGGTCTTTTCTTTCCTCTCTTTTTAATTACTGTTTGCTTTCTTCATTTATATTGTTTTTGATGTCACACTACAACTTCTCTGGTCTTTGGTCATTAGTGTTCAGTGCATCAAATCTGTTCTTGAGATGGCCTCTAAATTCAGGTGGGATATACACAAGGCTGTATCTTTACTCTCGTGAACTTGCTTTACTTTTCATTAGCTTTATCCTGAACTTGCAGATGAGCAGTTGATGGTGTGTTTACAGTCTACCCTTGCCTTGTTTTGGTTAATGATATTGACCTTCTGCATTGCCTCTTCTCACGGATGAAGTCAATTTGATTCTTGTGTATCCTCTGAATAAATTATATTCTATGAATTGCTTTGTAGTTGTCAAAATTTTCTTTCCGTAAATGAAAAGATGTATTTGGAATCATATGATGTAGTATATAAAGATAGATCACTTAATAATTGATTCTGCAGATTTATTTAAACTTAAAAAATACAGCCTTTAAACACTGGTATCTTGATGATGTTATTCCAGGTGTTCTAGCTGTATGTTGTAGGCTCAATTCTGGCTCATTAGCAACCCTATATGACACTATAGAACTGTCTCATAGGGTTTCCTAGGCTGTAATCTTTATGGGATCAGAGCTCCAGGTCTTTCTTTTGCTGAGGAGCTGGTGCATTAACACCACTAACTTTTTGGTTAGTAATCTAACACTTAAGCATTGCACTACTGGGATCCTGTTATGGGGTTATGCATTTATAATATGACTATATACTAAGTCATTATTGGTTATTTTAGTCAGAGGCAAGCATTTGAGGTTAGAGAATATGGAAAATATATAAGTAATCTTCACAAAATGTCTTTTGGGCTTGCAGAAATGCAACGCATGATTTATTAGTTTTCTGAAATGCTTTTTCCTCAAAGAACTTTTACAAAGACCTTAAATATACTTATTTTCTTCAAAGGCGACCTGATGACCCTGTAGGATAAACACTGAACTGATGACCACAAGGTTAGAAAGCCTAATCTACCAGAGGTTCCTCAGGAGACAGATGAGGCTTTGTGCTGTTATAAAGATTTAGAGCTTTGGAAAACCTATACAGGGTCACTATGAGTTGGATTTCACATGATGACAGTGGGTATTATGTTCCAGTGAGACCTGGTTGCAAGGGGTTAAGTGTTGTTCTGCTAAACATAGTGCTGTCTTTTCAAACCCACCAGTCACTCTGCAAGAGGACGATGAGACACCTGCTCCAGTTAAGATTCATAGTTTCAGAAAATCTGTGCAGCTCTACTATACTCTATATGGTCACTGTGAGTCAGAATCGACTCAGTGGCAGCTGCTGTTGTTGTGAAGTGCCGTTAAGTCAATTCCGACCCATAGCGACCCTCTATAGGGTTTCCAAGGAGCAGCTGGTGAGCTTGAACCACTGACCTTTCAGTT